CTGCCCTACTTTTCCTTAAATTTATTACAGCCTGAGGCTCCAGGCAGATCATGTCAGAGAGGCAGGGAGGAAAATCATCTCTTTGGAAGCAGGTTAAAAGGGCTGCGCTGCGTCCATTTCTGCGACGTGGAAATAGGAGGTCCGGTAAGAAAGAATTCTATAAAAAAAATTCCTCTTTTTTATATGTATTGAATTGCCAAGGGTGATGATAGAGATCAAATTTATAATGAGTGTTGTTCCCAGTCATTCAGTGTTTTAGATTCTTATGTATTACATGACTATAAATCCAGGGCTTCTGATATTTCGGGCGGTCGCGGAGCCGCGAAATTCGGTAGAAATCTTATCAAATACATGTCTGTACAACATATTTGAAACTTATTTCAGCTATAGGCCAGGGGCTATTTACTTGCCGTAAACTTGCAAATTTATCTTGGAACTTCGTCCCTGAAACGTGCAAACAACGTCCCGAAACTACCAGGCAGAGATTATGTTGTGAAAACTGGGCACTAGCCATGATGTTAAAGGCTTTGCCATTGGTTCATTTCTGGAGCGTACTGTTGTTGAAAGAGGAAATGATGACCCCTGTTAGAAAAACGTTAAAAATGCTGCCCTGATCAGTGCAAAATCGATCGATTTCTAGCGAAATTTGCCTCGAAAATAACCACAAAATCGGCCGTTTTTTACCGATTGCTTTTTGGTGAAGTTTGCCATGAAAACTCCCGCGAAATCGGCCGATTTTTCCGCGAATTTGTCCCTAAAAATCCGGCGAAATTTGACTTTTTCTTGAGCGACATATCGGAAGCCCTGTAAATCTGAGGATAAAATATTATACACTAAGACCATCCACAATTATACATTCCTTAATTAATTATAATGCAGGCAATAGCCTGCTTTTTGTTAGAAAAAAAATTTATTTTACACCAGAAGCATATTAGCATCTGGGAAATAGTGTACAAATGTTTATTTAAGGCCCTCAGTGAAGAACGTAGATTTGAGTAAATACACTTCATTCTTGACTAACTGATACTCAGTTCCTGGGTTAATTATAGAAAAAGAGACATCAAGCCAATAGTTTGTTGAACATCAGCAATCTCTCCAGATAATACCTAAGATTCAAGTCCTCCTCTACGTTTTTTTAAATTATGATTTTGGAGTTTATTACTAGTACTGGTAATAGGTCTTGTAATCTTGTTTTATAATAAAGTTCAGATAAATTATGTGGTTGTCACGAAAACTATAAGACCCTGAAAACTAATGCTAGCTAAGACCCATAACTTGTCACATATCGGTGGGGTCTTACGTTTTCCTAATTGGCATAAAGGAATTCTGAAAACTCTGGGGGAAGGGGGGGCGCTCAAGGGAGGTTTGGTTAGAGGAGTGCCGCCGAGGCCTTCAAACCCTGACCCTGTTTAAGACAGGACACAATACTTACTGGCCCTGATTTGTTTCTTTTTGCATGCTGAATTAGGTAATTTTTCACACTAAAATCCAGGAAATAGATATTTAGGAAAAAAATTACTGTTATTGGAAATGTAGACTGCTCATCGCAAGTCTTCACATTCTTTAAAAGGCTTCTAGTCCAAAACGACACCCCGTTCAAGATGCCTAATACTGAAATTGTACACCCTGTTTAAGACTCAAGACCTTGAAAACCATACCCTGTTCAGCAGCACATATAAATAAGGGAGTGCCCTCCCCCGCTTCTCAACCAACTGACATAACAGGCAAGGTAGTGCTGTGTCCAACTGACATGTGCAAGTTCTGGGCCGATCACCTATTCCTTCTCTGCTTCTCTGCTCTTCCTTCTCTGGGTAAAAATCATCCTGACTGGGTCATTATGCTCAGGTTTTATGTTGACTGTGATGAAGTTGAAGCTGGGAACAGAAAAAAATGTCTTTTGTTTACTTCTTCGTAATTTCCCATTGGGGTCTTAGTTTTTGCAATACATGTTATAAGCATGCATCCATAAAGAAAATTCTGAAAAGCAAGACCCCTTCTTAACTGACTGAAGAGGCGAGCTAGTGCCGTATCAAACTAAACTGTGCAAGTTCTTGGGCTATTGGATATGCCTTCTGCTATAAATCAGTTACCGATACTGAGAACCATTTAATTTTTTGCAATTGAACATCAACACCAGACAAGTTACATTGTTAATTGNCCCCCCCCCCCCCCCTTATTTAATGTGATCGTAGTGCGGTTAAAACCAGCTAACAAGGTTATGGAGGATTTCAGACAGGGGTGAATGTTTAACCTTGTGTCCTCTAAAGGACTCACGTGTTGTGGAGATAAAACCTGTATGTGAAGTCAGAGAGGTCAGAGGAAACAGTGTAGGGGTCTTAATTTCCTAAGCAAGGGGAAAGGGGAGGCACTAGCTGGCCAAGGAATTCTGTTTACAAATGCCACTTTGTGATCCAAAAAGATGCAGATGGGTGTAAAAAGGGAACATGATGGCATAGGCTAGTCAAAGAGTGTAAGGCTATCCATGTGGCCACTACATATATATCATTAATATTTTATTTGTTCATTATTATTTTTTATACTAAATGATGGCCTGCAAACATTCAATGAAGTGTTCAGAATCTTTGGATTATCAACAAGAGTTTTTGGGACGAGAATGCCTCTAGGAATCCTGCAAAGTCTTTGGATTACTTCATAATTAAAACATTCTGAAGTCTTATTTGTTGTTAATTTTTGACAAAAGATTTTTCTGACCAGTGGCAACACATTGATTGATTTATTGCTGGTTTTTTAATTTGTAGCTTTTATTTGTCTTATTTTAGTATTCTAGGGTGTTTCAGAGGGTTCCAGGTCTGCCCAGGGATCAATCAGGGGTATTCCAGGGTGTTTTGAGGGTGTTCCATGGGTGTTCCAGGCCTGTGTAGAGTTTTACAGATACCCTATCAGAAACGCGATTTTAATGTACCATATTATGTGCATGGCAATTACACAGCAGTAGCTTACCTCTCACATCAGTTATGAAGGGAGCTTAATTACAAAAATTAAGACGCCATCAGCAGATTAACAAGAATTGAACATAGAACAAATTCCTTTTGTTTATTGTGAAGATGAAACCAGTTGGAATGCCTTAATAATTTTTATAAACTAGCTAGGTAGCCTGGGCGCAGGCTCGCACAAAAAAAAGTAAGCTTGCCATGCATAGTGGGGACTGATAGGGAAATAGTGCCCCTCTTTCCCCTCCTCACTCCCCGCCCCCCACCCCCAGTTTACCACACTCATCTTGTTATTTGCCCTAATTCGCTCTCACTAGCTGTCGGAGCCTGGCCCCAGCTCAGGTTATGAACTAAGCATGAATTTTGCCAAAATAATGGGTTATAAATTTTATAAGGAGCGATTTAACATGTAATGATTAAATGTTTTTGTTTGTTGTTTTCTTTTAACGCAAATCTAAAGATCAGCAAGGGGCAAGCAGTGATCCTGGTGCTGGGAGTGAAGCTTCAGGTTCAAGCAAAGGAGTTTCCCATGACCAAGGTATAGACCTGTGTTTTATATAGTGATTAAAATCGCAAAAATGTATTGCATCTTGAGAATTTATGGGGAACCTCTCTACTCTGGCCACCTTGAGGATAGCCCTTAAATGCAATAGCCAGTGTTCTGCCTGTGTAATGCAAATGATTGGTGGTCCACATTATTTTGTAATTGAGCCGCTGCAAATCATTAGCCAGTGTATAGAATAATTAATCTGATACTTGTGACACCTTGAGACCCTGTTTTTAAAATCTAAGATTGTGACTTTGTGTTTTTATCAAATCCGAGAATGATACTTAGCGACTCCTCAAGAAAATTCTAGCCTGAGACTGAAACCCTTAAAGAGCTGTAACGTTTTAAGACAACAATTAATTTTGTTAAAAGTTCAAAACATTATCAACATGCATGGTCAAACAGCTTAGGCTGTGAGCATGAGTCTGGTGTTTTTCTTATCAAGTGTTAACTTTTGAATTTGACCACTTTGTTTGCAAATAATGTGCTCTCTGGGACTCCAATGGGCTGTAAAGTCGACAGATATGTGGCATATTTATAGAGGTCACAGTTAACAGAAATAGCTTAAGAAACGGTCCAGATAAGAACGATAGCAACAACGGCAACGAACATGTTGGAATGCAAAAAAGGTGCTAACTTTTCTATTTTCTGTACTTACTTCTGATTGGCTTAAACGGCAAAAGTTAACAAAACTTCATAAAGCAGTACATATATTCAATTAAATTCATATTATCACATGCTCATCACGCACATGTGCTCCTCTTTATGCCAATATACTGTCCTTTAATTCCCAGCCAGTTCTCTTAAACGGTTTTGATTCATTCACAACAGTAACTTTCCTTCCCACCCTTTTGACCGGAACCTTTGTTTTGCTCTTTTCTTTACTCTTTAAGTTTACTTATAATCCCTGTATTTTGCACAACCAGATTGTATATCCAGCAGATTATTTATTTCTGATCAACCCATCTCAACATATCTATCTACCTATAAAGTAAATATTAATCGAGCATTATGATATTGTATTTGGACAAGATATTGCATTCCTTCATTTCTTCCAGGAGGGCTAGCTAATCTCTAGATATCCTGGCCCCCTTACCCCCTAGCTTTCAGAACTTCCCTGCCACCAGTATTTTGCCCATAACTTTCTTGTGTGCATTCTGTGTGGTATACCGCGTAAAACCACAATGCGAAACCATCCACCGATCGAAAGAGTTTATTAAATAAAATTTATTTAAATAAATAAATGTTACTGTATATAAACCTCAATAGTTAAACTTGAGAGTTTTACAGAAGACTTCAATACCTGAATTGTCAAAACTTGAGAGTCCAAGATGGTCAAAATCATAAGTGAGTTCCAGATTCTCAGACTGCAATAATTTATTCTAAATGCCAAGAAGCTAAGACTCAATTAAAATTTTGTGAGATACTACAGACCATTTTAGTATATGCTTAAACAGTGGATAGTGTTTTTCGTGCGCTCTGATAATGGCTACTCAAAGTCAGGATATCCAGTGCTATTCAGATCACTGCTTCACCTCCATCTCCTCTGCGTGAGCGATGCCAAACTCGCATAAGTTACAAGCAATGGTTTCCTGGTTTGCTGCTGTAACAAACAAAGAAATTTCACAAATTATATCAAACAAGCTGTTCTCGAATTACACAAAGGTTATGAAAGTCGGTTTGGAAGTTTTAACAGGTAAAACGTTTTCTGTTTGACTTGAATTTGTCGATGAAACCGGCGAAAAAGTCTTTTGTTTACAAATACAAATTAAGTCTTGCATTAATTTATTTAGCTGACATATTCATAAATAAACTTAAAACTAAATATTTAATAGTTTTTTAGAGATAATTTGGTTTCATAACTCCCTCTGAAGAAATTTCCCCACAATAGCTAAGCAAATAACTTCAAAAGTTTTATTTGTCAGCAGGAAAACACGACAGCCATTCGGTCATTTGCATGCTAAAATTGTAATCGTAGGTAGCAGTAAATGAGTTAAAAACCATCATTTTTTTGCTCGATTATCTCACTGACTAAAACAATTATTCACCTCAATGTCAGTGGCTAGTGGGGATTATATTTACCGAGCCGCAAAGCTGAGCTTCTTAACCAATCATCTGACTAGCCATCTCCACTTCAGTGAATAATAATTGTTATCTTGGCCCATATTTGAGATTTAATTTGTACTTCTAAAAGCTTCCAAGCTGCTGTCCAATCTCCTCGGAGGCTGGAGAGAATATAGTAAGCGCATGGGGATACCCTGTGCTGAGGCCGGAAGGGCAGCCAATTATTTTTCTTTTTTTAGAATTAAAGGACACAGGACAGACCAGGTCACCCTTTCACAACTAACCAGTTCTGATCAGGCACACATTATATTAGCTTTTAATTTCTTGTTAATCTCCCTCCTTTTATTTTTACTGAAAAACAGTTATGGCATTTATAGATAAATCATTTTTTATTTTTTACACTTTTAAATATTTCGAGCAACAGCAATTTGCCATCTGTCCTCTTTAAATTATATTAATAAATTAGAAATTAAAGTAAGTCTATAAATGTCTAATATGATGGTGAAACCTGAAAATTGGACGGATAATTACACAGATAATCGTTTCTAATAGAGTTCCAAAAACAGTCACTTTCAAAACGAGGCCAAGTGCAAAGCCTTTGTTATAAAATGAGTTTTATTTGCATAAGAATGAAAAATCATTTTCATATCTGCAGTGGCTTTGCACTTCACCTCACTTTAAAACAGAGGCTTGAAGCAACTCGGAAATGGCCAGGTTTATTAGAAATGACTGAATTTTTTTGTTTTGTTTTTATTATTAATAATAAATTGTTTGTTTGTTTTATTGTTCTTCAGGCAAATCTAGAGATGAGCAAGGCGCAAGCAGTGATTCTGCAGGTACTGGGAGAGAAACTTCAGGTTCAGGCAAAAGAGTTCTCAATGACCAAGGTAGAGACCTGTGTTTCTTTATGTGTGATTAAATTCACAAAAAGGTCCTATCTTAAGAATTTACTATGACGACAGAGCGAAGTGATCGTTGCATCAAAGGAGGTTAAAACAATCACTGGGACCACAGGTAACTCAGGTTCTTTCATAGCACCACAGTATGAATCCTGTAAAATTTCTGTGTTTGTGTGGGGTAAAGGTACGATCCTAAAATCTATGAAAATTACTCTGCAGTTATTTGTTTTTGTCCTTAAAACCCACATAAAGGTTTGTGATAATATAGGTCATAATAGATGAATGAATCCAGCAGACTAGGTGAAACTCTAAGAAGAGAAGCCAAAATGGCCTGGGCACCGTACAAAATCACCTTCATCTTGGGTTCCCTTGGTGGCCTCCTGGATATCACTGGCCCAAAATAAACCTTCAGCAGAGGAAAGATTTGCTTGTGGGCTATTGTTCCCATAAGCCAATCAAAAATTGCCAAAGAAGAATATGACGAAACGTTGTGTAAGCATTAAGGACAACAAGAACTAATGGCAGAGTGGGTTTCATTGACTTTTCGTAATAAGTATTTCTTACAAATTTTAGGATAGCAGCTTAATCCCTTACAAACACTGTAATTTTGTAGGATTTGTACTGAGGTACTATAAGAGAGCCTGGGTTACTTGTGCCCAGACACAAAACAGGGCAGGTCATAACGAGGTTATGGAGGATTTCAGACAGGGGTTAATGTTTAACCTTGAGTCCACTAAAGGACTCAGGTGTTGTGGCGATGAAACCAGTATGTGAAGTCAGAGAGGTCAGAGGAAACAGTGTAGGGGTCTTAATTTCCTAAGCAAGGGGAAAGGGGAGGCACTAGCTGGCCAAGGAATTCTGTTTACAAATGCTACTTTGTGATCCAAAAAGATGCAGATGGGTTTAAAAATGGAAATGATGGCATAGGCGAGTAAAAGAGTGTAAGTCTATCCATGTGGCCACTATATATATTATCATTAATATTTCCCCATGTAATATTTATTTGTTCATTATTATTTTTTATACTAAAGGATGGTCTGCAAACATTTAATGAAGTGTTTAGAATCTTTGGGTTATCAACAAACGTTTTTGGGACTAGAATACTTCTAGGAATCCTGGGAAGTCTTTGGACTACTTCGTAATTAAAACATTCTGAAGTCTTAGTTGTTGCTTATTTTTGACAAGAGATTTTTCTGACCAGTGGCAATCTCTGTTTTCCCAACATTGATTGATTTATTGCTGATTTTTTAATTTTTAGCTTTTATTTATCTTGCGTTTGTATTCTAGGGTGTTTCAGAGGGTTCCAGGTCTGCCCAGGGATCAATCAGGGGTATTCCAGGGTGTTTTGAGGGTGTTCCATGGGTGTTCTGGGCCTGTGCAGAGTTTTACAGATACCCCATCCGAAACACCATTTCAATGTAGCACATGTGGATGGCCATTACACAGTAGTAGCTTACCTCTCACATGGGTTAAGTTGGGATCTTAGTTTTCGGAATTTCCTTTATGCTAATTACAAAAATTAAGACCCCATCAGCAGATTAACAAGAATTCAACATAGAACAAATTCCTTCTGTTTATTGTGAATATGAAACCAGTTGAAATGCCTTACAGCTCATTTCATTGCTATGTATACACCCGGATTTTCAGACATGATTCGACGGTCATGATTCGACCTGTCATGATTCGACACTAATCACGTGACGTGTCGCTTCGCAGTCTGCCATGAGATCCGAAACAGTGAGAGAAAAATCTGGCCGGCAAGGAAAGCTTAGCACTCAGGAAGGACATAAGTGTAACGAAGCTAGAATCCCGACAAATGCGTTTTACCTGAAGAGGAAAGCTTGGTTGCCTGTGATCATGTGATCAGGTGATAAACCTGGAGTTCGATTACCGAGTTCGAATGTATTTCTGTAGGCGATTTCATAATGGAAGAAATATCATCAATACTGCGAAAAGCGAAATAGTCCGATGGTTTATTGTTTAGTCTTCTTCCGTATAACAAGGTTTCGGTATTTTGCCGTTGGTGAATACCACCCGCAATTTACATGTAACAGTGGTGCAAATTTAGTTAACAGGGAGGCAAATTTGTATTTCTTCAAGTTGGTACCTTTTCGTCCTTACTTAGCTTCTGCATGGTTAAAAAATAACAGGAAAACTTGGCGTTTTGCAGAAGAAAACAACAGATAAATTGTCAGTCTGCCGTTGTGAAAGAATTTGCTGGAGAGTTCAAAAGTTTTGTTTTGTCGACCATTGAAAAATATCACAATGTTGGTCCTCGACCTATGACCCTAGTGAGCACAAATAAAGAAAACCATACAAAAAAGAAAGCAACATTTTTTTTCATTGAAAAAGGATAAAATATGATATTTCTTTAAAGATCAAGGTAGAAGCCCAAAAAAAGTTGAGAAAAGAACCGAAAAACTTATTGATCGAGACGTCCACACGCCCGATGACATGTATTGCGATTAGACTGCGTGACTTGTATGAGAGGCTGTTATCTGAAAAGGAGAACAAATTATGGATCACAGTCCTCTTTTTCTGAATTACAAGAGAAACATTCAAGTAACTTTCAGATTGTGTGCTTTGATTCCTGTAGGATATTCAAGGTAAAATACTGTAATGCTTGGTAACCTCGCGGTCGAATCATGGCGGTCGAATCATGACCGTCGAATCATGTCTAAAAATCAGGGTGTATACACAGCACTGAAATCAGCTGTAATAATTTTTATAAACTAGCTAGGTAGCCTGGGCGCAGGCTCGCACATAAAAAAGTAAGCTGGCCATAGTGGGGTAACAGTAGGGTGATAGGGAAATAGTGCCCCTCTTTCCCCTCCTCAATGCCCGCCCCCCACCCCCAGTTTACCACACTCATCTAATGCTATTCGCCCTAATTCACTCTCACTAGCTACAGAGCCTGGCCGCAGCTCAGGCCACGAACTAGGCATGAATTTTGCCAAAATAATGAGTTATAAATTTTACAAGGAGCGATTTAACATGTAATGATTAAATGTTTTTGTTTGTTATTTTCTTTTAAGGCAAATCTAAAGATCAGCAAGGGGCAAGCAGTGATCCTGGTGCTGGGAGTGAAGCTTCAGGTTCAAGCAAAGGAGTTTCCCATGACCAAGGTATAGACCTGTGTTTTATATAGTGATCAAAATGAGGTGCATCAGTTGAGACGACTGATGCGGTTCTAAATCTCAAAGGAAGGCGTTACATTGGGATGCCGGACTAGTACGGCATCACAGTAGTTTTTTGGCACGAGAGGTTTCATAATACCATGTGTCTGGTACCTAGGATATAGTAGTTCCTCACAGATGGCATTTTGCATGGCTTTAAGTTGGCACTGGCAGATTGCACTTTTCTCCCTGCTCAACAGAATAATTACAAATCTGCAACTAGTGCAGCACACAAACCCAAAGTTGAGCAGACTATGTTGGGCGAACTTTCAGATGGTAACTATGTAGTTACTGACATTAAACCAACTATTATCAGGGTCCTGGGAGCTATTCCCAAACCAGACTCATCAGATGTTCGATTAATACATGACTGCTCTCGACCTCCTGGGTGGGCCCTTAATGATTACATCAGCTCTGTTCATCCTTTAAATTTCAAACTTTAGACGACACCATAAAAATGCTACAACCAAACTATTTCATGGCTAAAATCGACTTGCGGCATTCCTGTCGATCTGTTCCCATTCACAAAAGCAATTACGTAGCAACTGTGCTACAGTGGCATTTTGCAGGCCATAACCATCCTACCTATTTTTTTGACACTCGGTTACCTTTTGGTGCCAAGTCTAGTTCAGAAATTTTTCATAGATTAACTCAATCTGTATGCCGTAACTTTTGAATTTGACCACTTTGTTTGCAAATAATGTGTTCTCTGGGACTCCAATGGGCTGTAAAGTCGACAGATATGTGACATATTTATAGAGGTCACAGTTAACAGAAGTAACTTAAGAGCAGTTGTCTGTAAGATTCGAACTATATTGAAAAGTCGCTGCCACACTATCTCACTGAAGCTAAAAATTGTCATCTAGACTTGATTTGGGGTCTTTGATAAGGAATAGGTAACTTTAGGTTCTAAGTCCTCCTATTTCGGAAATTATCGACACGGCCGGTTTTGGGGTGCCTCAGACCGGCGCCATATTGGTTAATAGAAGATGTTTTTGAGCCTTCGACTACAACCCTGTCTTCAAAGCTAATCTTCCTTTGCCGATACACATTGAAAGAACTATCCCTCTTTACTGTACTTTTAGAAACTACTTCGAAATTGATAACGTTTTCGCAACAATCGATAATTTAAACTTTTGGTGGGTATACTTTTTGAATTTTTTACACCTGCAAAATTAACAGAAATTCAAAGGTGTATATCTCTCTTGCCACATCGCATTGAAGCTTCCTACTCTGCCTGAATACTCGTTGTTTGTAGTTAAATCGAGTTCGTTAATAAAAAAAAATTGGGCGAATTTAACGGAGCAGAAACAAAAGTAATGAATGGAAGAGTGTTCTAGCGACTTTGTCAATAAGCTTTACACCAAATACATGCCAGGCGTTGCCAAAATTACACTCGATAATAGAAATTCTGTCACTAAATCTGAGCGATCCGTATAATAAAATTAGCGTCTGTAATATAAGCGATAGCTCTGCTGCGAAAAACAGCATAAAAAGGCAGATTGTATAAGGAAAAAGAAAATGAATTTGTTATATTTATGCTATGACGCGTAAATAAAATGCAACCATCACAGTCGAACTGGAATTTTCCTGATTTTCCTCCAGTTCCTTTATTGAAACCAGAGCTTTCGAAATTAACCATAATAATGAAAATTGAATGTATTACCTTACTCGACGACAAAGATGCCAATTTCCACCTTGATCGAAAAAAAGTAATATTTTCCCACGCATATCGCGGTTCCATCTTCACGTTCCTTGCATGGCGTTACAACACACGTGAAACCGCCTGGTTTCAAACAACTGAACTGAAGATTCTGTGAAAATCTTAGCCAGGCAATAAATAATGGAATTGATATAAGTTATCATTATTAGTGAGCGAGGATGCGATGATAGTTCCAGCTACATGTGTTTACAGCCTTTGAAGATTCGCTCAAAACTCATGAGACATGAGCCCTTGAAATGAACATCATTACTTCCGTTTTTGCAAAATTGGGCGTTGGCAAAGTAATAAATAGACTCATTCTATCTTGTACACCATTAACAACGGTTTCGTGCAAAATTTTCAGTTAGTTTGTTTCAATCACGAATCTCGTTTTAAGGAGATTCTTAGTCTTTCCATAAAGTGTTTTGTGATAAACAGGAAAATTGGTTTGGAAGGGGTTGAGAAGCATGAGGGATGAGCACAGGAGAAAAGAAAACCTCGGTCACCCCACCGAGGGGCTTTCAAACTGTGCGCAAATGCCCCACCCTAGAGACAATTCCAGATTTTAGTTTTCTTGAAAAAGCTTAAAATCGCTAGTCCATGCATGGATAACTCAAGAGAGTCTTAAGTCTAAATAAAGGAAACAGCAAACAAAATTTAGTTAGCGACCAGAGTGTTTATCCGATATCGCGAATAATAAGGGTGTTCTTTCACGGAGTGACTGAAGATGTGTCTGCAGTTTAATGTAAAATCATTCACCATGCTCACGGAACTTTCAACAACATAAGTGTACCGACTGATGTAATGTCAGTGGTAAAAAACGAACGCTTTTTACTGTAGGACGATGACGTCATCATACAAAAGACTCAGTTCTCTCGTAAGGTTTCCCCATTACATTTCCTAATTCTGTTAACTAGGTGAGGTTATGCGTTGATGAAATGGCACTTGCAATCGGTGAAAAAATTAGATTAGACACTTTGCCCTCAAGGACGGCTCTCACGTTTTACTGACACTTTCTAAAAAAGGGAAAAGAGAAGCTTTGCCTTCCCTACTTCGTGTAAACGATGTCGTTCGGCTGTTCAAACTACTTTTAGAAAACAACAAACTACCCAACTTTAATTTTAAATAAAGGTATAAGGGTAGGAATCCAAATTTTTTTCAAATGTTCTTCAAAATGTACGCCATGCAATGGAGTGTTTCACTGATTTTAACACGAAGATTGTGAAGCAATGTCTAGCGAGTACGGGGGCTAATGCTCCATGGCAAAAAATTTAAATTGAAAAGAAAAATCTTGTATAATAGAAGTACACATTTTTATCGAGTTGTGAAAAATCACAAATTTGTTTCTTCTTGAATGTGTTAAATATACTCTCATCCAGTTTGAGTGTTTTCAGTCTTTCCGGTATGCCCGTCGGGGATAGGAAGTTACCGTAAATGATCGATTAAGCGCCGCGGCGCCTATTTCATTTCCCATGTTTGAGGTGCGGCGCTTATTAGGGAGCGGCCCTTATTTCAACTACGGGTAAAACACTAAGGGGAATATAGAGAGAACTCAGAGTTCGGCAAGAAAAAGGACAAATATGCACACCTTGAAGTGTTATATGAACCTGGTTTCGAAAGTTCCCGTACGTTAAAACCAGTTAGAACTCACGAGTGGGTCGTGGTCTTGTTTGTCAAGCGATATGGTTTTGATATCTATTTATATGAAGCGCCGTAACAAAGGTGGGGCGTTTATTTGTAAATCAAATTAGCGCTGCGGCGCTTATTCCGTAGCCGCGTTTATTCGAGTAGCGGCGCTTAATCGATCATTTACGGTAACTGCACATTTGCTTGGGAAAAAAGGAAAAAATGAAAGATTTATTTTGTCCCTTGGAAAGTTAACCTTGATTTCAAAGGTCCGTTCGTGTCAAACAGGTAGCGTAGTGCTTTCGTCATGGGAAAAATTGGAAATTTTTGCTCTATTTTCCCTTAGCTTGGTGCCTTAGTGAAATATGCTTCTTTGGTCTTTATAGGAGCACGGCTGAAGTCATTATAGCTTTTCTTTCAAATATATAAAAAAATCGTCGCTTATCTATTTTTAGAGCACTGTCCAGTTAATTAAGGTTTTTTTAGTCAGGGAAAAGATCGTTTTTTGTTAACATTTATAGATTGTTTTTACGTTTGTCCGGGCCTCAGGAAATGTTACCTGAAAAGAAGCTACAATCCTAACTTTCTACATTCTAGTCTTTTCCCTAGCCGTAAGTTTTTCCCTCAAGGAATTTTTCCTTGTTCTACAATATAATGATTTATGTTGCATGCTTATCGATTTTTGAGAGCCTAGTCCTGTGCCGTATTCTGATTTGATCTACGTTATGTCGCTTTCACCCGATCTAACAGCTCCTTACTGAGCAAAAACGGTTTTAATTGTGGGGTGGAATTATTGACAGTTCTAGTTTGCTAGAAAATTAAAAGTTACGAGAAAATACTGGGCGAAATGCAGAATACACGCAAGCAGGAGAAAGAAAATCAAAAACAACTTTCTGTTCAAAGTCGGGTGAAACGTTTAATAGCGTCAAGAAGACTGAACTTGATTAAGGTTGTTGATTTCACTAATCCGTTCCATCGTGCAGTTCCTTGTCCTCCTAAAAATAGCTTCGTCTCACACCGATCATTTCATGTCATATTTTTCGGACTTTTATTCAGTAATGACGCTACGATCACGTAATTTGACTTGATGAGCTCTTTAATTTCATTTCATGTACTAGTTTTATATCTTAGGCTGGAAAGATCTGCCAAATGTACATAGAAGAAAAGGTAGGTTCCTGTTTACACGTGTAATATCGAATACCATTTAATTTGCGTAAAGTTGCAGTCAGGGGCAGTGCACGGTTTGTTTTTCTAGTCTTTTGATAAAAATTGATAAATTTTGTGTTTTCTTTGCTAAGATTTGTAATTTGTTGCTCTATACAGTGAAATACTACAGAGAAAATTGTAACTGTGCACACGAGCGGCTCCCGATTGGTCTGGCAAATCGTAGGGCAAACTTGAGCTAGTCACTAGGCTGTGTGTAACAAAATTTATAATTTTCATTTTAGCGCATATTTCAAGCTCTTCGCAAGATCAGAAACAAAAGATGATCTTTTTACATTGCAAGTGAGGGTTTTTTAAGCGATAGATAGGCTCAGTAAGAGGCACGATAAATTTTTAAGAATTTTCTCTTCAAATATTCACTAAAATTTTGTTTGGAAGTTTCAACGGCCAAGTGGCTGAACCA